TTTTCAGGGGACGCAGTTCAATCCATGACAGATGGTAATACAAGCTATGGAGAAAAATCAAGCTAAGGGCAATGGGAAATACCATGCCATGGTTGGTGGCAAAGGAAGGGTTGCTATTTTATAGGGTGATCAAAAAATGCCTCTCCAATAAGGCAAAATTTGAAAAGAGACCTGGAGGAAGTGAGAGAGTAAGCCACGTGTGGAAAAAGCAGTCAAGAAGGAGAATACAGCAGATATAATGTCCTGAGGTGGGAATTTTCTGGGTGTTTGAGGAACATCAAGGAGACTAATATGGCAGGAGCAGAGTAGATGAGGCAGAGAGTGCCAGGAAATGGGCTCAGAGAGGAAGTGGGAGGCCTGTCCATATCAAGCCTTGTGAGATCTTAGCTTTTACTCTGGAGCGAGAAAGAAGTCCCCGGAGGGATCTGAAGAGAAGAGTGTCCTAACCACAATACTCTAGCTATTGTGCTGAGAATAGATGGAAGGGGGCTTGGTAAAAAGAGATAAACCAAAGTTTATAGGAAAAATGTAGATGAGCTGAATCCAGCAACATATAAAAAGGATTATACACCAGGACCAAGTGGGATTTATCCCAGAATGCAAGGTTGGTTTAATATCTGAAAAACCACTGAATGTAATATACCACATTAATAGAATAAAGGGCAAAAATCGTATGATAGTCTCAATAAACATTTATTGAACAAAAATTCTGACAAACTTCAACACCCTTTCATGATAAAAACCCACAAACTACAAAGAGAAGGGAATTGCTTCAATCTGATCAAGGGCCTGTACGAAACACCTACAGCTGACATCATACTTATGGCGAAAGACTAAATGCTTTCCCTCTGAGATCAGGAACAAGTCACTCTCACCACCTTCTATTCACTATTGTACTGAAGGTTCTAGCCCGGGTAAATAGGCAAGAAAATGAAATAAAAGGCATCCGGATTGGAAAGGAAGAAGATGACATAATCTTATATAGAGAGATTCCTAAGGAAGATCAATATACAAAAATTAATTGTATTTCTATACACTTGTAATGAATAATCTGAAATGAAATTAAGAAAGCAATTCCATTTACAATAGCATCACAAAGAATGAAATACTTAGGAAAAAAACTAAGAAAAGAAGTGTAAGACTTTAAAACTGCAAAATATTGTTGAAAGAAATTAAAGACCAAAATAAATGAAAAGACATCCCATGTTTAAGAATTGGAAGACTTAACATTGTTCGGATAATAATACTCCCCAAGTTGATCTACTGATTCAACACGATCTCTATCAAAACCCCAGCTACTTTTTTTGCATAAATGACAAGCTGATCCAAAAATTCACATGGAAAGTACAGGGACCTCGAATAGTTAAAACAATCTTGATGAAAAAGAGTGAAGTTGGAGGACTCACACTTCCTGATTTTAAAACTTACTGCAAAACTGCAATAAGGAAGATAGTGTGATACTGGCATAAGCATGGATATATAAACCAACTGGAACAGAAGCCCAGAAATAAACCCATGTGTCTATGATCCACTGATTTTCAACAAGGGTGCCAATACCATTCAGTGAGAGAAAGAACAGTGTCTTCAATAAATGATGCTGGAAAAACTGGATCTCCACATGCAAAAGAATGAAGTTGAACCCCTACCACACACCATATACAAAAATTAATTCAAACGGATCCAAGACATAAATGTAAGACGTAAAACTATAAAAATCTCAGAGAAAACATAGAGGGAGATCTTTGTGACCTTGAATTAGGGAATGGTGTTTTTAGATATGACATCAAAGCATAAGCAACAAGAGAAAAAACAGATAAATTGAACTTTATCAAAATTAAAAATTTTTGTTCTTCGAAGGACACCATCAAGAAAGTAAAAAGACAACCAAACAGGATGGGAGAAAATTGTGCAAACCACATATCTGATAAGGGGCTTGTATCCAGAATATTAAAAAAAAATTCTTACAACTTAGTAATAAAAAGACAATCCAATTAAAAAAAGGGCAAAGAATATGCACAGGTATTTCTCCGAAGAAGACATACAAATCGCCAAAAATCACAGGAAAAGATGATCAATATCATTAGCTATCGAGGAAATACAAATCAAAACCATGACAAGATACTGCTTCACAGCCACTAAAAGCCAAAAACCCAAACCCGTTGCCGTCAAGTCGATTCCGACTCCTAGTGACCCTATAGGACAGAGTACAGCCACCCCACAGGGTTTCCAAGGAGCGGCTGGTGGATTCAACCTGCTGACCTTTTGGTTAGGAGCTGAGCTCTTAAGCATTGAGCCACCAGGGCTCCTCACACCCACTAAAATGGCTGTAACGAAAAAGACTGATAATAGTAAGTGTTGGTGAGGATGTGGAGAAATCGGGCCCTTCCTACACCATTAATAGGAATAAAAACAGTGCAGCCGCTTTGGAAAACGGTCTGGCAGGTCATCAAAAGGTTAAACAGAGAATTATCATATCACCCAGCACTTCCACTCCTAGGTATGTATCCAAAAGAAATGAAGACATCTGTCCCCATGAAAACTTGTATACAAATGTTCATAGTAGCATTATTTACAATAGCCAAAAAATGTTAACAGCCCAAATCTCCATCAGCTCAGGAACGGATAAATAAAACGTCATGTATCTATACACTAGAATATTATTTGGCCAAAAAAAAAAAAAAAAAGAACTACTGATACACGCAGCCACACAGATGAACCTTGAAAACAAGTGAAAGAAGCCAGTATGTTTTCAACTACATGAAATGCCCAGGATAGGAAAATCTACATATATAGACAGAGAGTACATAAGTGGTTGCCTAGGGCTGGTGGGGATGGCAGGAATACAGGGGTGAGTGCTAAAGGGCATGGGGTTCCACTTTTGGGTGAAATGCTCTAAAACTTACTGTAGTGGTGGTTGCACAATTCTGTGAATATACTAAAAACCACTGATTGGCACACTTTAAAGGGGTGACTTACATGGTATATGAATATAGAACAATAAAGCTGTTACAGAAAGAAAGGAAGAAAAGAAATCCTTTATCTCTGTTCTTGACTGACGGTATAACTTTGGGAAAGTTGATTAAAATAAGTGCTATATAATTTATTATATTCTAAGTTATCACAAGGAGCCCTGGTGGCGCAGTGGTTAAGAGCTTGGCTGCTAACCAAAAGGTTGGCAGTTGGAATCCACCAGCCACTTCTTGGAAACCCTACGGGGTAGTTCTACTCTGTCTTATAGGGTCGCTATGAGTTGGAATCAACGCGACTGCAATGGGTTTTTTTTTAAGTTATCACAAAAAAGCCCTGGTGGCACAGTGGTTAAGCGCTGGGCTGCTAACTAAAAGGCCAGTAGTTGAAACCTACTATCTGCTTCTGTAAATATTTACAGCCTTGGAAACACTATGGGGCAGTTCCACTCTATGGTATAGGGTCACTGTGAGTCAGAATGGACTCCATGGCAACTGGGTTTTGAGTTTAAGTTATCACAGAACCCACTGGACAAATACATAAGTGCTACCCCAGCCCCACTCCCACACACAACACTCAATTCTTCTAAATGATATGACACAACCACTCTGAATCTACCTTTTCTTTGGAAACATTTTAAGTACACTGCATGGCTATGGATTGAATTGTGTTCCCCAAAAATACATATCAATTTGACTAGACCATGAATCCCAGTATCGTGTGATTGTCCACCAATTTGTCACCTGATGTGATTCTCCTATGTTTTGTGAATCCTACCTCTGTGATGTTAATGAGGTGGGATTAGTGGCAGTTATGTTAATGAGGCAGGATTCCATCCACTGGATTAGGTTATGTCTTAAATCAATCTCTTCTGAGATATAAAAGAGAGAAGCCACAGAGACAGGGGACCTCATACCACAAAGAAAGAAGACCACGAGCATAGTGCATCCTTTGGACTCGGGTTTCCTGCGCTGAGATGCTCCTAGTCCAGGGGAAGATTGATGACAAGGACCTTTCTCCAGAGCCAACAGAGAGAGAAAGCCTTCCTCTGGAGCTGGCACCCTGAATTCAGACTTCTAGCCTCCTAGACTGTGAGGGAATCAAATTCTCTTTGTTAAAGCCAGCCACTTGTATTTCTGTTATAGCAGCCCTAAATAACTAAGACATGCATCCAATACATTTTAGAAGTTAGGTGCTATATTTATTTTGTATTTTTAAATCTTGTCCACTTTTTTTCTTAATGGTGTTGATAGAAATTCGTCTTTAAAATATTTTTCCTATTTTATGAATTAGAGTTAAGGAATGCAGTCCAATTAGCAATACTTTCTCAAAAAAAAAAATGGAGAAGTTATTCACGAGAGAAGAAAAAAAAAGGAAAACTGTAATAAAAAGTGAGCCAGTCATATAAATCACTTGGCAGAGCCACACACCTATAAGGATGATAGCATTTCCGAAAAGATCCTCCAGCGTCCAAAGCTATCTTTTATAGGTGACCTTTACATAATATTGGCAGACAGACTCGGGTTTAAGGCACAGCTTCAGTCTCATCAGCTTCTTCTGCTGTGAAATGAGAATAAAATGAATGAGACGTGCAAGTTAAATTCTGTAAAAATGAGAATGACACTGTCTACCTGACAAGTAAATAGTGCTGTCTTGAATTCAACATGCAAGCACTTAAATCCAGATTAGGTTACTTCTTTTTTTGAGTGTAAAGTTGAAGTCTAGATGGACTGTGGATTCCTAATTTATCGCTCCTTCCCAGGACCTTGTTCTGTATTTGCAGGTCTATTTTTCTGACGTGGTTTGAAAAGGCAATGTGGTCCGCGTTTTATTGGCGTTGCATTTAGAGAACCGCGGAGACTGGGAGCAGAGGACGTGCGCGGTCTCACGCGGCTTGGTTTGGATCCCCACTCAACCTCCTCTCCCGAAATGAACGTCTCGCGCCTAGTTTGACCCTTAAGGCTTCCCATTCAGTCCCCTCAGCGCGCATGCGCAGAGGCCCGGCGCCCGTTCGCTTCTCTGCGGCTCTCACAATGGCGGCCTGCAGCGTGGGGCTGTTGACCCGTGTGCCCCTCTGTGCCCAGGGAAGGGGTCAAGTCCATCGTCCTATCTGCCGGCTTCTCAGTTGCCCAGGAACTGTGGCCGCCGACCTCAAGAGGGAGGAGCAGCCTTCGGGGAACGTGGGGACAGGTGAGGGCACCGTGCCCTCGCCTTGCTCTCCCGGGACCCCCGGCGGACGAGGGGAGGGGAAGACTGTGGGCGCGGCCGCGGATCGTTCGGCCGGACGGCGAGGCCGTGTCCTGGCCGCCTCCGGTCGCTCTGCGGTGGTGGAGGTGGGACTCCTGGGCCGCGGGACGGAAATCCGCGTAAACCTCCGAAACGCGGTTTGGCGAGGCAGTATCCCCCCACGCCGGTCGGGTGCTCTGTCCGTCGTGAACGTCCCTGGTTTTGGTACCCACGAGCGTGGGGAAGGCTTGATGAATCATGAGGCTTCCCGACTCCCAGACGTGGGGCCTGACCTGTGCACTGTACTGCCGTTTACCTTATTCCTTTGGCCGTTTTGAGCAAGAATCAGCTGGGTACCAGATTTGCGTCCACTAGAACGGGCTGTTGTCCCTCGGGTGCTCTAAGTTTATATGCTTCTACGTGGATTGAGAGGAAGCTTTACTATTGCAATTGTCTTACGATTATTGAACCCCTCTTGGGACTCCGTGGGTCGAAATCGACTAGACGGCAGTGGCTTTGGGGTTTGTTTGTTTTTTGGTGTGACTTAAGAGCTGTGTGTATGTTATTTACGGTTCTTCCAACAATCTTGTAAGACATGTATCACCGTCTCCACTTTACAGATGCAATTGTGAGGTGTCTTCGAGTTGGTTCCAACTCACAGCGACTCCCTGTACAACAGAAGGAACGCTGAAACACTGCCCAGTGCTACCCATCCTCACAATCGTTGTCCTGCTTGAGCCCATTGTTGCAGGCACTGTCAGTCCATCGCGTTGAGGGTCTTCCTCTTTTCCCATGACCCTCTACCAAGCATCATGTCTTTCTCCAGGGACTGGTCCCTTCTGATAACATGTCCAAAGTACATGAGACGAAGTCTTGCCATCCTGGCTTCTAAGAAGCATTCTGGCTGTACTTCTTCGAAGACAGATGGGTTCGTTCTTCTGTCAAAGAGCTAAGTAATCTGGTCGGGGTTACAAAGCTTAGTAAATTGAACCTGCAGTCAAGATGCCAAACAAAATGTGTTGATTTCTGCCATTTCTTGGAGCTATAGATCGAAGAGATGAAGTTACTTGTGGGGAACAGTTGTAAAGTTAGCTAAACAAGTAAAATATTTCCCCCCGAAAGAAATCAGAGTTGCTCCTGAGACCGTTTGAAAGACTCATATTGAGAGGGAGTGAGAGTGTTACTTTATATGACATTTTATTGAGATACTGATTACATTGTATTTAATAGCAGCTGCTTCTGTTAAACACTCTCAACTAGCCCTGAAAATTTAAGAAATGATTTTTTCCAAAGAGGCTATTGTAATCAAACATTTGTGTAATGGTTTAAGTTTGAGAATGTTTTCATATGACATTTGAAACATAAAACAACCTTGTGGAAGTAGGTGTAGAAGGGATTTTTTTTTTTTTTAATACTATGTTATTGTGTTTTAGGTGAAAGTTTACCAGCAAATTAGGTTTCCCTTTAACAATTTTTATACAAATTGTTCTGTGCCGTTGGTTACAATTTTTACAATGTGTTGGCATTCTTATTATTTCCATTCTGTTGTCTTTCCATTGATCTAGCTTCCCTTCCCCTCCTTGCCTTCTCATCTTTGCTTTTGGGTAACTGTTGACTGGTCTCACATAGTTAACTGTTGAAGGGAGCACATTACTCACTTGTGATAGTGTTTATTTTATAAGCCAATCTATTATTTGACTGAAAGGTGACCTGCAGAAACAGCTTCAATTCCAAGTTCAAAGGATGTCTTAGGGCGATAGTCTCGGGTGTCCCTCTAGTCTTTGTCGGTCCAATAGGTCTGGCCTTTTTTTTTTTAGGAATTTGAATTTTGTTCTATCTTTCTCCCATTCTGTCCCAGACCTTCTATCGTGTCCCTGGTCAGAAAGGTCAGTAGTGGTAGCCGGGCACCGTCTAGTTCTGGTCTCAGGTTAGAAGAGGTTGTGGTTCATGTGGGCTGTTAGTCCCGTGGACTAGTTTCTTCTTTGAGCCTTTGATTTCTTTCATTCTTTTTTTCTCCATACGAGTAGAGGCCAATTGTATTTTAGATGGCTGCTTGAAAGCTTTTAAGACCCAGGTTGCTACTCACCAAACTAGGATGTAGAACGTTATCTTTGTGAACTATGTTATGCGATAAAACGGACTAAGTTGTCCCCAGAGACTATGGTCCCAAGCCTTTTGACCCAGTAAGCCAATCCCAGGAGTTGTTTGGGTATGTCTCGGGAGCATCTGTTAACTGTGCCCCCTGTGGTTCGTGGTATATGCGGAGATGTGTGCAGTACACACAAATGTGTGTAGACATATGCCTACGGATACACCTGTATATGCACGTGCATTTACCCACAAGCGCCTTCCTGTACACGTATGTGCATCCATATCTACCTATGTAACCACACTCAGACTTTTTGGTTGTTTTTACTGTTGTTGCAAAATTGTGTATGTTATAGCATTTACCGAAATTGTCCCTTTTTCTTGTGTACTTCTTAGTGTCTTTACTTGCCTTGGTCAGGTTGCACTGACTTCATCCGTATTTGGGATTGCCTTTCTGGTCACCAAAAGTAACAAGTGTCGACTATGTAGAGAGTGATTCCCCTTACTGTCTTTCCCATCCCTGGTAACCATCAGAGAACTTTGCTTTGCATGTGTCTATCTACTTTTGGCTTTTTATAATAGTGTGACCATTCAGCATTTGTGTTTTTGTGATTGACTTATCTCACTCAGCATAAGGGCCTCCAGATACATCCGGGTTACGTTTCGCGGACTCCTCGTTATTCTTGATAGTTGCGTAGTAATTCCATTGTATGTATGTACCATTTGTTTATCCATTCATCCGCTGATGGGCACGTAGGTTGTTTCCATGTTTTTGCTATTGTGAACAATGCTGCAGTGACCGTAAGTATGCACATGTCTATTCATGTCACTGCTCCTACCTCTATGATATATACCTGGGAGTGGGGTTGCTGGATCATAAGGTATTTCTATTTCTGGCTTTCTGAGGAAGCGCCATACTGTTTGCCATAGCGGTTGCGCCATTGACAGCCCAGCGACAACGTATGAGCCCCAGTCCCCCCAGTCTCACCAGCATGCGTGGTTTTGTGTTGTCGTGCTCATTGCCGCTTTTGCAGCGGTGAGGTGGTATCTCATTATAGTTTTGATTTGCATCTCTCTAATGGCTAATGGGGGCCCTGGTGGCACAGTGGTTAAGACCTCAGCTGCTAACCAGACGGTTGGTGGTTTGAATCCACCAACCATTCCTTGAAAACCCTAGGGGGCAGTTCTCCTCTGTCCTAAAGGGTCGCTATGAGTTGGAATCAAATTGATGGCAGTGGGTTTGCAATGGCTAATGATCATGAGCACCTTTTCATGTGTTTGTTGGCCAGCTGAATGGCTTCTCTGTGGAAGTGTCTGTTCGTGTCCTTTGCCCATTTTTTGATTGGAGAGTTTCTTTTTGTTGTTGAGTTGTTGAAGCTTTCTGTATATTTTAGAGATTAGACCCTTACCAGATAGGCCTTGCCGAAGATTTTTTTTCCAGTCTCTAGGTTCTCTTTTTACTCTCTTGGGAAAGTCTTTTGATGAGCGTAAGTGTTTAATGTTTAGAAGGTCCCAGTTATCTAATTTATCTTCTGTTGTTTGTGTACTTCTAGTTTTGTTTGATAGACTATGCTGGAAATTAGGTCCCCCAGTTTTGATCCTGTGTTATCTTGCAGGAACTTTATAGTTTTAGCTTGAACATTTAATAGTTTATAGCTTTAACATAGGGGTCCTGGTGGTGCAGTGGTTAAAGTGCTCAGCTACTAACTGAAAGGTCTGCAGTTTGAACCCGCAGCCACTCTGCGGGAGAAAGATGTGGCAGTCTGCAGAAGAAAGATGTGGTAGTCTGCTTCCATAAAGATTTACAGCCTTGGAAACCCTATGAGGCAGTTCTGCTCTGTCCTGTCGGGTTGCTGTGAGGTGGAATCAACTCGACAGCAGTTTTATTGGTTTTTTTTTGACCCTATGTTATCTTCCAAGAACTTTATAGTTTTAGCTTTAACATTTAGGTCTTTGATCCATTTTAAGTTAGTTTTTATACATAGTGTGAGGTATGGACCCTGATTAATTTTTTTGTATATGGATATCCAGTTTTGCCAGCACCATTTGTCAGAGAGACTGTGTTCTCCCCCATTGAATGGACTTTGACCCTTTGTCGAAGATCAACTGCCCGTAGATGGATGGATTTACTTCTGGGTTTTCAATTCTGTTCCATTGGTCTGTGTATCTGTCATTGAACCTATACTAGGCTTTTTTGATTACTGTGGCTGTATAGTAAGTTTTGAGATCAGGTAGTTTGAGGCCTCCTACTTGGGTCTTCTTCTTCAATATTTCTTAAGCTATTTGAGACCTCTTTCCTTTCCATCTAAAGTTAGAGATTAGTTTTTCTGTTTCAATAAGGAATGTTGTTGGGATTTGGATTGGGATTGCATTTTATCTGTAGATTAGTTTTGGTAGTATTGACATTTGCACAATGTTGAGTTTTCCAGTCCATGAGCATGGAAACTTTTCCCATTTATGTTTTAGTTTCTTGCAGGAGAGTTTTACACTTTTCCTTATTTAAGTCTTTTATGTCTCTGGTTAGGTTTATTCCTAGGTATATTTTATCCTTTTGAGGACTATTGTAAATGGTATTGATTTCTTGATTTCCTTTTCAGAGTCCTTGTTAGTATAGAGGAACCCAGCTGATTTTTTTTTTTTTTTTTTTTTACTTTAGATGAAGGTTTACAGAACAAACTAATTTCTCATTGAACAGTCGGTACACGTATTGTTTTACGACATTGATTACCAACCCCATGACATGTCAACACTCTCCCTTCTTGACCTTGGGTTCCCTATTACCAGCTTTCTGGTCCCCTTCTGCCGTTTAGTCCTTGTCTCTGGGCTGTTGTGCCCCTTTAGTTTTGTTTTGTTTTGTGGGCCTGTCTAATCTTCTG